AACCACATGTAAAAAAAAAAAAAAAAAAAAAAAAAAAAAAAAAGTCATTGTTGTTTTCTTTTGCTCTTTATTTTTGAGACAGGGTCTCCTTATGTGGCTCAGGCTGGCTTCTACTTCACTATGTAGTTGAGGATGATCTTGAACTCCTGAATCTCCTGGCTCCAACTCCTAAGTGCTGGGATTATAGGTCTGTACCACTGCAATCGACTCTGATGTGACATTTGAATATGTACATAAACTGTGTAAGGCTAGATCAGATAACAGCATATCTATCCTCAGATATTAATCATTTTTTGTACTGCTGTGTTTCACCTTTTTATTATTTTTTCTTGTCTTTAATAAGATTAATCAAATATTTTATGTTATTATCTTTTCTCCGCTACTTTATTTTATCATCATCATTATTATTGATTATTTTTGGATTGCTAAGGCTCAAACTGGGGTCCTTGCTAGGCAAGCAATGTGCCACTAAGTCAGACTTTCCAAGTCCTTTAGTGTTCTTAATGTCTCTACATTTAATTTAAAATTTTAAAACTTATGTGCATGTGTGTGGACATGAGTATGCACACTTAGCCCAAGTACTTAGGAAGACCAGAAGAGGGCATCAGAGCCCCTGTAGCTGGAGTTTGGAGCCTTCTGATGTGGGTGCTGAGACCCAAACTCAAGTCCTTTGCAAGAACTGCAAGAACTCTAACCACGGGGCCATCTCTCTAGTTTGAAAGATGCACTTTGGGTTGTTTTTAAATGTACTTATTTATTTTTATTACCTATACAGTGTTCTGCCTGCATATACGCCTTCATGCCAGAAGAGGGCACCAGATCTCATTATAGATGGTTGTGAGCCACCATGTGGTTGCTGGGAATTGAACTGGGGACCTCTGGAAGTGCTTTTCTGAGCCACCTCTCTAGCCCTGAAAGATGCACTTTGTGAAGGCAGTATTTAATCTAGGGGATGAATATTAAAAAGGATTTTCAGAATATATGGCCCGTACAAATCTAGAGTACACTCATCAGTTTAATAGTTCAACACATTCTAACAACAGCAACCACAACAATACCAGTCAGTAACACTCATATTTGGCCTTATAATATTCTAGGCATTGTTCTAATAAAGAAATAAATTTATGTATTTTTGGCAGAGTCTCACACTGTAGCTTTGGCAGGCCTCAAACTGGTGGTAATCCTCCTGCCTCATCCTCACAAGTGCTGGGATTACACCTGGCTTCTAATCACTTTATAAACATATTCTAAGTACATAAACATATATGTATACAAATAACATATATTCTGCTTTTGATTTTTTTTTTTTTTTGAGACAGGGTTTCTCTGTAGCTTTGGAGTCTGTCCTGGAACTCACTCTGTAGACCAGGCAGGCCTCAAACTCATAGAGATCCACCTGCCTCTGCCTCCTGAGTGCTAGGACTAAAGGCATGCACCAGCAATGCCCGTCTTTTTTTTTTTTAATGTGTGTGTGTTTTTCTGTTTGTTTTGTTTTTGGCTTTTTTTTTTTTTTTTGGTTTCTTCTGCCTCTGAGACAAGATCTCACTACATAGCCCTGGCTGGCCTAGAACTCTCCATGCTGACCAGCCTGCATAGATGGAATCAGACCTGTCACTGTCACACCCTCCCCAGGACCAACTTGGTACTGCCTTGATGGGGGCGAACAAGGCAGTCTGCAAGTGACTGAGAGGTTGAGAGAATCCTGTTTACAGGCTCACCTGTGTATTTGTGTTCCCATATTTATAAAACCATCCATTCATTCTTCATTTTTTCCTTTCCTTTGAACTCATAGAGATCTTCCTGCCTCTGCCTCTGGAGTTCAGGATTAAAAGTGTTCATCACCATGCCTAGCTATTTATACGTATTTTCTAATATGAACATATGAGAACAGAAAGCCAGATCAGCCCCTCTTATTCTCCAAATTCCCCTTGAATCCTACTTTCAACTTCTTAGATTCGCTGACTGACCCAAGGCAGGCTGTCTGCCCCACTCCCCACCTTCAAACACAGGCAGCCTAGCTCCGTGGTACAGCAGGGCCCCTAGTCCCTGGCTTCCTTCTTGATGTCTGTATCTACTCAAATCTATTTTGCTTGGTGGCTGCTTGAGGGAAATGTGACTTCCAGAATGGGCCATACAGGTTCCATCCCTTACCTCTGTCACAGCTCACCAGAGCCTTCAACCCCTACCTCAAGTCTGTATTTCTGCAAGTCCCAAAACAATGAATATCCTCAGTAACTAGTGAACGAGGCTGAAAGGAAAAAAAATGAAGAATGAATGGATGGTTTTATAAATATGGGAACACAAATACACAGGTGAGCCTGTAAACAGGATTCTCTCAACCTCTCAGTCACTTGCAGACTGCCTTGTTCGCCCCCATCGAGGCAGTACCAAGTTGGTCCTGGGGAGGGGCGTGACAGTGACAGGTCTGATTCCATCTATGCAGGCTGAAGTAAAACCCTGAGTATCTTTGTATCCTCAATCTGCCCCTGTGCAGGGGCCACAGAAGCGCTGGTCTCTTTCCCTGCTTGGCATGTTATGATGGAGTGAGGTGGAGTAGGAAGGAGTTTTGCTTCCTTCCTTTACTCTCTTTCCCAGTATCCTGGTGATGCTCCTCCATGGTGCTCCTAGCTGGGACACACAAGAATCCTACAGCTGGCCACGGCCTGGCCTGCGTTCCAAGAGCTTGGATGAGGGGACCCCGCAGGGATCCTATCAGCTGACACAGACACTCGCCGCCACCTCCCTGGGTGGTTCCTATGGCCTGCAGCTGCTCCTTCTGATTGGGCACCAGTTCTACCACGCGAGCTGCTATTGGCTTTGAGGCCTGTCGATCCTGTGCCAGTTTGTAGGTGGCACCAGAGAGCCGGTCCAGGATAGGCCAGCGCCCGAGGGTCACGTGACAGGGCCGCGGGTGGACTCTACAAACGCAGCCGTTCCGGGCTCCGCCTCCTTCTAACCAGCACGCGCCGCTGCACATGCGCACTAGAGCACCTGGGCGCCACCAGGCGGTGGTCGGGGCGGGGAGTCGGGAGGGGGGCGAGGGTAGGAGGGAGGGTTGGGTAGGGGGGAATGGGGAACTCGAGTGGGCCAGGGGGGCTAGGGCCGAGGGCAGACGGCAATGTCTGTGGAGAAGGAGTCTCTGTTCAGGTGTTCACAGCCGGGCTTGAAAGTACGGAGTAAGCAGTTTAGGGTGCCGCGGGGACGCACTCAGGCCCGGGCACGGGGCGCCCGGGGCAAGGCCCAAGTCCACAGTGGACAGCTACCAGAGCCGAACTGCGAGGAGCAAGTGCCAGAGAAAGAGAAAGTGTGGACGCCCTGGAGTGGGCTCATCGTGATTGGGAAGAGAGTGGAACTCTTGGACAGAAACCAGCAAAAATCTAAACTGTGGGAACCAAAGTTGGAATCTGAGAACTGGAAGCTGGAAGTCGTGGGAAAGAAGATCTCGAAAGAGAGATCGAGCCTACATCAGGACACGAAGGATGACAACCCAGAGGACATTCGGTCGGAGTACAGACTCAAAGCTAGGGCAGAGATGACAGCAGAGCCTGAAGAAACACCGACGTCTAAGGACAAGTTGAGGACCACCGGAGGGGACTTGAGGTCCAGAGGGGATCAACTGAGGCCGAATGAGGAGTTGGATTCGAGAGGAGAGAACTTGATGTACAAGACAGAGAAACGGGTGTCCATGGGAGAGGAGGTGGTGGACAGGCAAGAGAAGAGGAGGTCTGTTGTAGAAAAAATGGACAATGGAGAGAAACGGGGGTCCATCAGAGAGAAGTTGTCAGACAGGCGGAGATCGATCAAAGAGGTGTCAGACAATGGAGAGAAACGGGGGTCCGTGAGAGAGAAGGTGTCAGACAGGCGGGAGTCCATCAGAGAGAAGGTGTCAGACAGGCGGGACTCCATCAGAGAGAAGATGCCAGACAGGCGGGGGTCCATCAGAGAGAAGGTGCCAGACAGGCGGGGGGCCATCAGAGAGAAGGTGCCAGACAGGCGGGAGGCCATCAGAGAGAAGGTGCCAGACAGGCGGGAGGCCATCAGAGAGAAGGTGCCAGACAGGCGGGAGGCCATCAGAGAGAAGGTGCCAGACAGGCGGGAGGCCATCAGAGAGAAGGTGCCAGACAGGCGGGAGGCCATCAGAGAGAAGGTGCCAGACAGGCGGGAGGCCATCAGAGAGAAGGTGCCAGACAGGCGGGGGTCCGTGAGAGAGAAACTGTCAGACAGGCGGGGGTCCGTGAGAGAGAAACTGTCAGACAGGCGGGGGACAGAGGGGTCCCTCAGAGGGTGTTGGATAGTGAAGAGACAGAGGGGTCCCTCAGAGAGAAAGCATCTGACAGTGGAGAGAGAGAGGGGTCCATCAGAGAGAAGGTGTCGGACAGTGAAGAGAGAGAGGGGTCCATCAGAGAGAAGGCATCTGACAGTGGAGAGAGGCGGGGGTCCATCAGAGAGAAGGCATCTGACAGTGGAGAGAGGCGGGGGTCCATTAGAGAGAAGGCGTCCAGAGGAGAGAGGCGGGGGTCCATCAGAGAGAAGGCAAGGTCAAGTGATGAGAAGCTGAGGCTGAGTAGAGAGAAATTAAGGCCCAGTGAAGAGAAGCCTAGGACTGGTGATGAAAATCTGGGATCCACTGGAGATAAACTGAAGTCAGATTTTGAGGAAGTACCGTCCGATGAGATGAAGCTGGAACAGCATTCACAAATGGGAAATACAGTAGAAGAGAATATTGAAAGAGTGGAAAGTATTACTGGTGATGAAAGTATTATGGAAAATATGAGTCTGGAACAAATTCCTTCTGAAAGTGTACAAGGGAGAGATGAACAAGAGGAAGCAGAGGAAGGGGTGGAAACTGACAATACTGTCTTGGATGAGATGAAAGATACCGCTGATGAATCTGTTCCTATGGAAGAAAAAGACATAACTGGAGAAGGCTCTGGGGAATCGGGTGGATGAAGGAGATTGGAGAAGTATTGAAAGTCAAAGAGAAGCTAGAGCAAAACAAAACTCTGTTGATCCCAAAAGGGTAAATATGAGTGAGGATTCTGGAATTGAAAGGACAGGGAAATGGAGCAGAGTTACTGGACATGGAGGCCAAGCCAATATCAACGGAAGTGAAGAGTGGGAAAGAGGGAAATGGGAACATTTTAAGGAGAAAAAATTGGGAATGAATGCTAAGTAGAAGGAAAGTGACTGCTTCATTCTTGAACTATTTGAGAAATGAGTCTAGGGTGGGCTGGATTTTGGCAGACATGTACTGGTCAGGAGTATGAGATGTAGGAGAATGTCAAAAAGAACAAATTATAGCAAGATAAAGGATGAACATTGAGGGTTGTGGGAAAAGCAGCAAACAGGTGATGTGTCTGAAGTAGATAGCAAAAACTGAGGGGCTCCTGCAGGAGTGAAACAAAGGGGAAGAAGAGTGATCGTAATTTTTATTAAAGGTGCAGGAAATAAGAAGGCATATCCTACCGTGGTGATTAGGTTTGTTGATATTTCTATACTGTCCATGCAACCAGTTTTACTATCTATTTTTGACTTACAAGAGCCCTATGTATCTGAACCAAACTCATCTTCACTGGTAACTAATCCTGTTTTCACAGGTTCACTTCACTCTCACATCAGGTTTGAATTCCCCATACTTAATGTAAAGGTATTCTATTTTTACCAGAATTGTTTCCATCTTTCACTTTTTCTTTTTTTTTCCAGTTTTTCGAGACAGGGTTTCTCTGTGTAGCCCTGGCCTTCCTGGAACTCACTCTGTAGACCAGGCTGGTATCGAACTCACAGAGATCCGCTTGCTTCTGCCTCCCGAGTGCTGGGATTGAAAGTGTGTGCCAGCCGGGCGTTGGTGGCGCATGCCTTTAATCCCAGCACTTGGGAGGCAGAGGCAGGCGGATCTCTGTGAGTTCAAGGCCAGCCTGGTCTCCAGAGCAAGTGCCAGGATAGGCACTACACAGAGAAACCCTGTCTCGAAAAACAACAACAACAAAAAAAGAAAGTGTGTACCATCACCACCTAGCCCATCTTTTAATTACTCATCTGATCACATGATTTTGTGTGTGTTGTGTGTGTGTGTGTGTGTGTGTGTGTGTGTGTGTGTGTGTGTGTTGGTCTAGATATGTACCCCTGGCTGACCTGGAACTATATGCAGACCAGGCTGTCAAGGCTGGCCTCTCAAATACAAAGATGTACTTGTCTTTTCCTCCCAAGTACTAGAATATTTGTTTCTCTTTTGAAACAGGGCTTCCTCTTAGCTCAGGCTGACATCAAAATATCAATCTTACTGAATTAAGCCTTTTACTCATAATCTACTCTCTGCCCAAGAAGAAGAAAAGGCCTCGAGTAACCAGTGTCAAGACTCCATTATCCAGCTGGAGAGTTGGCTCCATGGGTAAGGGCACTTATTGTTCTTGCAAAAGACCTGGTTCTATTCCTAGCACCCACATGGAGGCTTACCACTTCCTCAGGCAGCAAGCACACATATGGTGCACAGACGAAGACACATTAAAAAAATAGAAGACTACATTATCGAGATAGGTTCTATTGTCCTGATGGTAGAGGTAGTAGAGCAGATAGCATAGGAAGAATATTTCACCAAGCATGGCATGGTGGCGCACACCTTTAACACCAGAATTCAGGAGGCAGAAGCAGGCAGATCTTTGAGTTCTAGGCTAGCCAGAATTACATAATAGACCCTGTCTTCAACAACTTTTTTCACCCCCATTTCTCCTCTGGTTATTTTTTTAAATGCACAATTTCTGAATATAAACTTCATATTATATATTATAAGCATATGATAGCCTCATGTCTTTTGTCGTTGTTGTTATTGGTGGTGGTGTGAGTGTATGTGTGATGTAGTGGTGTGTGTGTGTGTGTGTGTGTGTGTGTGTGTGTGTGCGCGCGCGCGCTCGTGTGTGTGTGTGTGTGTGTGTGTGTGTGTGTGTGTGTTGAGGCAGAGTCTTATATAGCTCAGGCTGGCTTCAAATTCTGGAACTCAATATGTGGCCAACATTGACCTTGAACTTCTGATCTTCCTCCCTTTTCCTCCAGAGTGCTGAGATTGCAGGTGTGAGCCACCACACTCACGTTATGTGGTGCTGAAGATGAAGCCTGGGACTTTGTTCTTGTTAGGCAAGCACTCTGCCAACCCTGATACATATCCAGGCTTCATTTATGTTTTGACAAGGTCTGTCTGTAGCTCAAGTTTGCCTACAACTCAGTGCAGCCCAGGCTGGCCTCAAACACACAATGTTACTCCTGCCTCAGCTGAGATTACAAATGTGAGCCTCCACACTTGGCTGCCTCATGCTTTTTCCTTAAGTTTCCTGAATGTGTTTTTGTAGGTTTCTCCACAAGATTTTTAAGCCCTTTGCTATATTTTTGTGTACAAGTTAACCCTAAGATCATTTCCCCATCCCTCCTCTCCTTATTTTGGTCAGTTGCATCGTCTGGTAACTTCCAGAGAAAGTGACCTACTGTACCAGTCTCTCCTCTCCCCTCTCTCCCCTGCACCTCTCTCAACTTACTATATTGCTCAGTCTGTCTCAAATTCCAAATCTTCCTGATTTAGCCTCTTGAGTGTTAGAATTACAAATCACACCACACCTGTATTAGTTGTTAATCATCTGTCCCCTCTAGCATGGGGGACAGAAATATGTCTGCATGGGCGTTGCTCTACTCCTGGCACATAGTAGACATTAAGCATGTATTCATAGAATTGGTTTATTGCATTCATTGACGTTACCCATTTCAGTACGATTTAACAACAAAGGATAAATCACTGCAATAATTTCCCTGCTTTTAGAATGTCCCAGGGCTCTGTGGAGCCTGCAAGTGTATGTTCTATACTTGACCCTGACTTGTCTGGGCACAGGATGTGTGCTCAGCAGATTGAAGCTATGCTTTGTTTGCCTCCAGCATTGCTACTGGGGCACCAGATCTGTTTTTATGCTGAATCCAGTTGCACAGCAAGCCTTTCTGAGGTTATGGATTGTGTTCTGCAATCTGTCCCTAATATTTCTGCCTTTCCCTTGGTCCGAAGCTGATTGGTTGCTCTTTCCTCCATTTCCTGAGAACCCTGATCCTGTAGTTGGACAATAAAGATAGTGGAAATGGGTAGAGTTGTAAAGATAAGCTTCTGATGACTCAAGCCTACTAACAGGATCTCTCTATGTATTCATTAGAACAATTAAAGATATTTATTTTTACATGTAAGAGTGTTTTGCTGGTGTGTATGCACGGGCAGCATGTGCCCACAGAAGCTAAGAGACAGTGTTGGGTCCTTTGGAACCAGTGTTACAGATGGTTGTGAGCCAGGTTCTCTGCAGAATCAACAAGTGCTCTTAACCACTGAGTCATCTCTCCAGCACTCTTATCTATCTGTCTATCTGTCTATCTATCTACATTTTGAGGCAGGGTCTAGCTATATACCCTATGCTAGTCTTGAACTTTTTATGTAGCCCCACCTGACCTCAGCCTCTTGATCCTGTCTCAATCTCCCAAATGCTGGGGTTTCAAATGTGCATGGTTATGCCTGCCTTTCTTTGGTTATAAGATCTTGTTTCTGGTAAATGATACTGATAACATTTTCTGGCTTCTTGTTATGAGCAGTTAAGATGAATAGGCACAGGCCAAATCTATGCATGTCCTCTATCGTTTACCCTTTGCTCAGCTCTTTACAATGGGAACTATTCCTCTGCCAAGTCTACCAACTCAGAACTGCCAAAGCCAGGCTGTAACTCAGACAACCTGACCTCAGAGCCACCCTACTCAGCTGTAGATTTGTCTCCGTTGTTTCTGGACTAGCTGACTCAGTTTCCTAGCTTGTCAAAGTACACTCTGCCTGGGGAAGGGGAGAGGCTGGTAAACAGCCCTTCCATCCATTCAGTGAAGCTTGCGAAAAAACTACTTCAATGGCAAGTCTGTAAGAACATAAATTCAGGGTCTGGAGGTCCGGGCTCAACTGTTAAGAGCACTGACTGCTTGCTCTTCCAGGGGATAGGAGTTCAAGTTCATTACCACAGGGTAGCTCACAACCATCTGAATTTACAATTCTGATGCCCTCTTCTGACACCCTGGGGCACTGCACTAATGCAGAGTACACATACATACACAGATAAAACACTCTTATACATAAATGCAAAAGGTAATATTTCTTTTTTTTTTCCTAGACCTATGTCTACCTGAAAGCATCATTTGAAGATTCCTCTGGTGACTCTATGAGCTGAGGCATTGTCATCTCTTTAAGAGACACCTTGGGCACAAGATCAAGACAGCATTTGCCCTGCATGGGAAATGACCTACATGTCAGGATTTAGAAATTCTGTCTTTGGCTGGATGAGTTCTTTGCCTGAGCTGTCAGATACATTTCATCAAGACCACAGACACCATGAAGATCAAGTTATTATGACAAATGCCAACTTCCTGGTAAGTGCAGATATGTCCAACTATCCAGATAGCTAGAAGGTTTATTTGCTTATTTATTTGTTGAGACAAGTTCTTATTCGGTAGCTCAGGCTGGCCTAGAACTGTTATGCAGACTAGCCTGGCCTTGAAATCACAGAGCTCCACCTGCTTTTGCCTCCACCATGCTAGAATTTAAGGTGTGCAGTGCCTACCCTGCCCCGATTTTAGTTTGAAAGTTCTTGCTATGTTCCCTAGGTTGACACTAAACTCATGATTCCCAAGTAGCTCAAATAACAGGCCTACAAAACTCACCTGGCTGGGTTTTATATATTTAATAACCTTTTCTGCTAAAGTTGACCAAAATACATATATTTCTGGTAGTTAAGAGCTTCTGAGTGAATTTGATATGTTTCTGTTACCCTTTTTTGTTTTGTATATTCCAATGGTCTGTGTTCCTTTTCTTTCTTTCTTTCTTCCTTCCTTTCTTTCTTTCTTTCTTTCTTTCTTTCTTTCTGTTTTCAAGACAAGATCTTACTATGTAGCTCTGGTTTTCCTGGAACTCACTATGTAAACCAGGCTGGCCTTGAACTCACAGAGATCCACTTGTCTCTGCCTCTTGAGTGCTGGGATTAATGGCATATGCCACTATGCCCAGTTAGATCTGTTATTCTTATAAAAGAATTTTGAAAGTAATATCATCATCATTATTATTTTGGGTCTTGTTTCAATGGCTTAATTCATTCAGCAGGCACCAATACTTATTATATGTTGGCTGGAAATATAGGGAAAAATACAAACATGTCCTTGTTCTTTGTGACTTTTCTTACACTGGGACACAAGTATCATAAGTACATCCCAAGGCATGATGAGATGGGTTTAAAGAGGCTGGGTAGGCCCAACTGCAGAGGAAAGTTAGTGAGACATCAGAAAATGCTCGTTTGGGGCTGGACTTACACAGGTAAGAGGGCCAGGTGCAGTGGCGCACACTTTTATTTCCAGCATTCAGGAGGCAGAGGCACGTGTATCTATGTGAATTCAAGGCCACCCAGGCCTACTTGGAGCATTCTGAGCCTGCCCTGGCTATATAGTGAAACTAAAAAATAATAAGAAAGAAAGAAAAAAGAGTAAGAAGGAACAGGGACCATACAGGTGAACAAGAGAACAAATTTCTAAACAGAAAAGAAAACTCACTGAGGGTAGTAATGGGAAACTGAATGGCTTTCAAGAAAAGGCAAGGATAGGATCCGGTAAGACTAAATAAAGTAGGAAGTCCAGGCTAGTCAGATGTGAGCATGGGAAGCCTCAGTGAAAGAATCTAGACTTTGTTCTGTAGGTTATAGGGAGAGTGACACCATCAGATCTGTATTTCACTTGTGTAATTGACTAAGCCAAGAGATGGAATCACCTGGGCCTGGGTGAGGGGGCACCTCAAGCAGGAGGTGTGATATCAGATAAGGGTAATAGTTCAGGGTGGAGAGGGCAAGGCTATGAACTAAGGCAAAGAGTGGGAATAAAGAAAAAAGAAGTTTTTGACAGGTTTAGAAATTATATTCAGTCGGGTGGTAGTGGTGCACGCCTTTAATCCCAGCACTCGGGAGGCAGAGGCAGGCGGATCTCTGTGAGTTCGAGACCAGCCTGGTCTACAAGAGCTAGTTCCAGGACAGCCTCCAAAGCCACAGAGAAACCATGCCTTGATAAACAAAAAAAATTATATTCAAAGCAGAGGCAGGCAAATCTCTCTGTTCTAAGCCAGGCTGGTCTACAAAGTGAGTTCTAGGACAGGCAGGGCTACACAGAGAAACCTTGTTTATAAAAATCATCCTACTCAATAAAGACTTGCTCGTTCAAAAAAAAAAAAGACTTGCTCTTTCATTGTAAATAAATGGTGAGAAAGGAGGCATTCAACTCATCGACACGGCTGGCTGATGTGCAGATCAGGGGCTTCCTCGGCAATCAATGTGTTCTTTGTGTTTGTGGGATTGTGAGTTTTTAAATTTACTTATTAGTGTATGTGTGAGGTGTGTGTGTGTGTGTGTGTGTGTGTGTGTGTGTGTTGTGTATGGTTGTCAAGAGGATAGCTCTTGGGAATAGTGTCTTGCTTTACACCTTGTTGAAGCCGTATTCTTGTTTCTCTTTTCAACTTTCCACAGGATGCTGGGATTACAGATGCATGCCATGGTTTCTGGCTTTGTTTTGTTGTTTTTAATATGGGTTCTGGGATTCAAACTCAGGTTGTCAGGCTTGCACGACAAGTGCTTTTATCCACAGAGCCATCTCACTAGCCAGGAATTGTTTTATTGTATGAGTTTTATAGATCATAAAAATTGAAGATATAGTGCTCAACCCAAGTGGCATTGCTAGTTTGTGCTGACTGTAAGTGTTGAAAATTGGATTTGAACCCAAGGGGATCAGCACTGCTTCTACTATGTTGTAGCTTCACCAGTTGACTGGATTATCACTGTCAAATAATTGGAGGTCAGGTCACCTTCCTGGGACACAGTTAATAAAAGATGTGTGTGGTGGAGCTTGCCTGTTATCCCAGCACTCAGGAGTTGAAGGCAGGATGATCAGGAGTTTAAAGTCATCCTTGGGTATGCAATGAATTTGAGCCTAGCCTGGCCTATATGAAACCTCATCTCAAACAAACAAAAACAACAAAACAAAAAGCAGAGGAAAAGGAAGAGAAAGCAGTTGCAACACTTAATTTGGTCGATTTAGGCTTAGAACTGCTCACTTTCCCAAAAGCATACAGTCAATCCCTGTGTACTATTTCCAGCCACAGGCGTGTTATATTGGGCTCTTTTTTTTTTTTTTTTGGAACTAACTTAAAAAATTTTTGAGATTCACAGTAAAATCTAGGTCTCCATATTTTCATGAAAAACTGAGACTCTCTGGCAACACTAGACCCATGCAGCAAACAGACACCTGTCTGATTCTTTACCAGGGCCCAAGTGCCTTTATCACCAGAGTGCTCCCAGCCTGCCTGGGGTCCCTGCCCACCTTTGCAGGCCCCATGTTTGCACCTATTGTTCCTCCATGAGGGGAACCACTTAGCTTGTGTTAGATGCCAGTCTGTGCTTTAATTCAAGTTGGGCCCAGGCCTCCCTTGCTGCCTAAATATCCCTTTGAGTTTAAGATGTGAGACATAATATGTGTTTTGTTTGCTTTCTTCTTCATCCTGTGAGAATTGGAAAAAAAAACAAAAACAAAAACAAAACTGAACACTTCGGTACTTACCATGCTTGAGCCCACAGGGAGGAGGGTTTATATACAGTTACTGCAGGACAAAGGTGAACATAGTTCCTGAGATCAACATTGACCAAATGCCAACATAGGCCAGACATGGTGTTGCACACGTTTAGTCCCAGCCCTCAGGAGACAGAGATAGGCAGATTTCTTTTCTTTTTTTGAGACAGGGTTTCTCCTTGGAGCCATCCTGGAATTCGCCCAAGATTCAGGTAGACCAGTCTCGAACTCACAGAGATCCTCCTGCCTCTGCCTCCTGAGTGCTGGGACTAAAGGTGTGTGCCACTGCTGCCAGGTGGCAGGTAGATTTCTATGAATTTGAGGTCAGCATGGCCTACATAGCCAGTTTCATGTCAGCCAGGGCTACACAGTGAGACATGGACAGGCATAGTGGTCCATGTCTGTAATCCCCTCAAACTTTAGGAGTCTGAGGCAGGAGAATCGCTCTGAGTTCAAGAACACTCTGGTCTATCTAGGGAGATCCTGTCTTAAAATAACAAACAAAATAAAATAAAAAACCCCTGCAATATAGCTGGGCAGTGGGAAATGGCAAAGGTAAAACCTTTGTATACAAATTTTGGTGGTTTTTTGTTGTTGTTTCTTTATTTTGTTTTGTGAAAAATCATGTACTTAGATTTTTAGCTGTATACTTTGGCTACTTTATAAGGAAGTCTTCTGGGAAAACGTGTATATATGCATATGAATGTGTGTGTGTGTGTGTGTGTGTGTGTGTGTGTGTGTGTGTGTGTGTGTGCCACAGTTCAGATAGCTGAACATTTTCTTTAGAGATCCAATTTTAGCACATTTATAGAAAGTTTTACATTTACTTAATGTTAGCAACATGTTCCTGTACCATTGAGTGGTAGTTTAAGAACCATGTTGGCAAACAGATATTTTGTAGAATTAGATACTTTATTATCAAGTTTTGAAAATTTTCTCAATCCACTTTAATCGGTTCAAGTTTTTTTAAAAATTTTACTTTTAGAATATTTTATGTGTATGACTGTGTGTATGTGTGTGCCTGCATGTATGTCTGTGCGCCATGAGCATGTCTGGTGCCCTCAGAGATCAGAAGAGGGCATTAGATTCTTTGGAACTGCAGTTACAGGCGTTTGTGAGACACATGATATGGGAGCTGGGAACCCAGCCTGGGTCCTCTTCGAGAGCAACACTCTTAACCATTTCTGCAGCCCCTTATTATCAAGTATTTTATTTATTTATTTGTTTGTTTGTTTTACTTTTTCTGACCTCATATTTCTTTTTTTCTTTAAATTCTTCGATCATATATTACACCAACTGCAATTTCCCCTCCCTCCACTCCTCCCAGGCCCACCTCTCCCAGATCTACTTCTCCCATTTCCCTTCAAAATAGAGAGGGCTTCCAGGGATATCAACTAAACATGGCATAACAAGTTATAATAAGACTAGGCAAAAACATCATATCAAGAGTGGAAGAGGCAACCCAGTAGGATGACAACGTGCAGGCAAGATTCAGACACCTTCACTCACACTGTTAGGAGTCCCACAAGAACACCAAACTACACAACCATAACATATGCAGAGGACTAGCTCAGACCTGTATAGGGTCCATGACTGTCCTTTTCATCTCTGTGAGTCCCCATGAGCCCTGCTTAGTTGATTCTGTGGGCTGTGTTCTCATGGTGCCCTGGACTCCTATGGCTCCTACAATCTTTCCTCCCCCTCTTGTGCGGGGTTCCCCTGGCTTCCGTCTAAAGTCTGGCTGTGGGTCTCGAATCTGCTTCCATCAGTTGTTG